CGAACTGCACGCGGGCCGCTACAGGCCCCAGGCAGCGACGGCTATTCCGCAGCGCTCGGATTACAAGCTCCCATCGCTAGTCATGTGGAGGAACCTCCTGCCGCGGTACCGCCCATACACACACCAGTTTATAGCTCTACGTCCCCGGCAAGCACAATCGACGTATCATCACCTATCGCATCGTTTGCCTCGAACATCGCCAATCGAGAGACGAATTCATCGGCTACCTGCTCCGAAAACGTACGGTACGCATCTTCGGCGCGAAAGACAAGCTCGGTAACCGTGCTAGTGTGCCCCGCCATGGACAACTGGGCGTTTACGATCAGTCTTGCACGAGGTCGAGATGGTGCGCCCAAAGCCCGTCGCTTGCCTGCAGGGCCATCGTCTTCGCCAGCCGGTTGTATTTTCTTGTACCCAGCGTTGTTGCCGCATTACCAAATCGTGTGATTACGGCCCCTGATATCTCTTCGTGCAACGACTCGGCTCCCAGACCGCGAAGGTCCTCGATGTCGAGGCTGAAGTCGATACGAACGGACTCCAACAGGTCGTCGAATCGACCCTGGTAGTCTCCCATTGCGGTGGCTGGAAGCAGGCCTTCGACAAGTCGGCGGACGACATCACGCGCCATTTCATGGCATGTCTCGCCGAACGCCTCGTCGTCGAGCACGGCGTTGCGCGCCTTGTAGTAGTTCAGCGTCTGCCTCTCGATGATGCGGGCGAGGTCGTACGAGACGATGCGGACCGCCTCGGCGTCCTGCTCGATGGACGACTGCACCTGCTTGACGAGGCTCTGCGAGTCCTCCACGTCGTTACTCGACAGCCTGCGGCTCACCCTGACGAAGGGGCGGTCTTCCAGCGACAGGACGAACCGCGACGAGCCGTGCTGCCCCTGTCTGCCACTCCGACCCCGGAGCTGCGGTCAACGCGGGCTGCCTCGTTCATCTCCGTGCCGATGACGTGGAGTCCCAGCCCGAACTCCATCGAAGTCTCGTTGTCGCCCCCCTCGATCACGAGAGTGGTATCCGCGACGTGAAAGGGGGGTCCCAATTCGGCGATCTGCGCGGCAAGCGCGTCAACGACATCCCCGTGACCGCAGTCCACACGTACGCGGTGTAGTCGGTCGAAAGGCGTTCGCTGAGCATTCGGATGAACCGACCGGTCACTCGTTCGTCGAGGTCGTCACCCAGCAGGATATCGGTGCCGCGGCCGGCCATATTGGTGGCGACGGTCACCGCGCCGAACGAACCGGCTTCTTGGACGATCCGGGCCTCATCGCCGTTCCTCACGGCGTCCAGCCTGTTGTGGGCGACCTGCGCCTCGGAGAGGAGCCGGCTAATTTCGTCCGACTGCTCGACCGTTCGCGTGCCGACGAGCACGGCCGGCCCATGCGGTTCCAGTACGCCACTTCTTCCACGATCGCGTCGAGCTTCTCGCTCCCGCGTGGCATGGACGCGCGGCGGGTGGTCGACTCGGCGCGAAGGGCTGGCAGTTCGACTCGCGCACGTCGAGGCCATACGACCTGCGGAACGTCTCACGGGCCTCCAATGCCGTCCCCGTCATTCCCGACACATGGTCGTACTGCCGGACGAGTCCCTCGACCGTCAGGTAGGCGAGCGCTCGCGGATCGGGACGGACGCGTACGCCTTCCTTGGCTTCGAGAGCAGCCTGCAAGCCGTATTGGTACTTGCTGTCCGACTTGCGACGCCCCGTCAGATCGTCGATCAGTACGACCCGTCCGTCCGCCACGATGTAGTCCTCGTCACGCGCTAACAGCAGGTAGGCGCGAAGCATCTGGTGTACCTGGTTTGCGACGCCGTACTGCCGCGCGATTCGCAGGGAAACGGCATCCCTCCGCCGTCCGTTCCACCAGTGATACGGTCCGGTCGGCGTCAATCTCGGCAATCTCGGCGTGGAGGTCGGCGGTGTCGAAGACGGGGCCGAGTCTGCTTTCGACGTAGGAGGAGCCCTGCGAGGTAAGGGCTACAAGGTCGCGCCGGAGGTCGGTCGTGTAGAGCAGCCCCTCGGTGAGCTTGTTTTCGATGCCATCCTCGGAGTACGTGTCGATCAAGTCCCGCACCCGTCCCAGTAATCGTGCGTCGCGCGCGGCGGCGGCGACGATTGCGGCGTTCCGAGGGTCGGCAAGGAAAAGCTTCGCGTACCGTTCGATGCTTGGCGTGGACTCGGTATCTGAGAGGCCATCGACGAGCGACGCGACGATCCGTTTCTGATCGTCGATCAGCCCTTCGACCGCCGACTTCACCCGGAAGACCGACCTGATGCTCCCGCTCGGCTTCCCGGAGATGATGAGCGGCGTGCGGCCGTCGTCCACGAGTGCGTGGTCGGCCTCGTCGACGATGGCGACCTGAAGGCCGCCCTGCACCATATCACTCCGCGAGTGGCGCAGGTTGTCGCGCAGGTAGTCGAAGCCGATCTCCCGCAGCGTGCCGTACACGATGTCGTTGCGGTAGGCGCTCCGACGTTCAGCGTCGCCCATGTGACCCAGCACAGTGCCGACCGTCAGGCCGAGGAATCTCGTAGGCCGGGGCCAGGAGCTCGGCATCGCGCAGGGCGAGGTAATCGTTCGCGGTTATGACGTGCACCTTGCGCTCCGACAGCGCTTGCGTGATGGCGGGGAAGGCAGCAGCGACGGTCTTGCCCTCGCCCGCGTCCATCTCTACGACCGTGCGGTCGAGCATCAGCCGTCCCGCCGCTATCTGCTCGTCCGTCGGCTCGAAGCGCAGTGCGTCGGCAAGGGACGACTCTCGGACGGCGCCATAGAACTCCGCTGGGAGGTCTATGTCGGCGAAGTACCGCGACGCGCTCTCTTCGGACACGTAGGCTAGGGTCTCCGCGATGGTCTTGTCGGTCCCGGTGAGGTCGTGGGCCGCGTCTCGATAGCGGCTGATGTCCGAGTGAACATACGCCGGATCGAAGACCTGCCATGCGCCGATTCGCCGCCTGATCGTCTCGTTGATGACGGCGAAGCATTCTGCAAGAGTATCGTTGTCGAATGCGCCATGCCTTAGCGCCTCGGCGCGCTCGCGGAGCTCCTCATCCGATGCCTGAGACAGGTCTATGCTTCGGACGGACGACACGAACGCCTGCGCCGAACGGTCGCTGCGACGGAAGCCCTCCTTCCTCTTACGGCGACTTCCAGAGGGGTCGGTGGGAGAAGCGTTGATGTCGGGAGTGTCGGACACGACGGGCGACTCCTCGGTCTTCAGGACGTCCCGATTGAGTCCACTACGTGACGGAAGTCAGGGTCATCTTCGGGTTCCGTGATGCGATAGACGCTCGTGAACAGCTCGCGGACGATGGTGGGCAGGATTTCGATGATCTCCGCCCTTCCTGCCGCCTGTGGCACGGCGACGAGATCCAGCCGCCGTCTCGACAGACCCTGGACGGCGGGCTGAACGTAGTCCAGCGGCGCGATGAAAGCCCCCCACTCGTCTAGGTACTTCCGAAGGAGCCAACTACCGTCATCGACTTCGCTGAGCACGAACGCCAGTCCGGTCAGCGACTCTGCGGCTAGCTCGGACAGGAGAGACCTTCGCATTTCTGTGTAGAGTCCCTGCCGTCGAAACGGCTCCCTGACGCCTGCGTAGAGGATCATGCCGCCGTTCACCCTGCGAAGGTATACGCCGAGCATCGCACCGATGAGCCGTCCGCCTTCATACGCCTCTACAAGCTTCGGCGCGAGCGAGGGATTGGTGGACGGGGAGACCGTCAGACGAAACGAGTCGAGGTCTTCCACCGCATCGTTTCCGAGAGTCTCCTCGAACAGCGCGTGAATCCGACGAACGCACGTAGTCACTCCATCCGGCACGCGAACTTCGCGGGCCGTGGCCATAGTCACGCCAACATCTCCCGGATCTGCGCCCATGTCCTTCGACTGGAGTCGATGTATACGAGGCTGTCGCCCTGGGTACAGACCTCACCGTGGAACCTCAGCATCACGGATTTACCTCGGACGATGCCGACGAGATTTACGTCGTTGCCGAGCAGTTTGGCGGCGATGTAGTCGTAGGAGGAGTTGGGGCCCACGTCACCCTCCACCGTCGTCGTGGCAAGGGTGCCTTCCACCTCATTGCTCGTGATCGCCTGCGTAACGAGGGTCACGCCGGGGTCTTGGGCCTCCTGTACCAGCAGGTTCGTCACCAGGCTGAGCGCGTACACGAGAGAGACCTGATCGGACTTGCTGAACAGCGCGGCGTGTTTGGTGTCGAGGCACTCGGCAACGATGTTGATGTCAGGGTTCATGTTCTCGACGACGAAGGCCACCGACGCGACGAAGCTGTCGGAGCGCGGGTCGTCGTAGCCTGTGCTGAGGATGATGGCCTGCTCGGCGCGCTCGATTCCGGCACGGCGGTACGTCTCTTCCTCCAGCGGCGAGCCGCGTACGAACGACACGTTGGCCATAACGAACGGCAGGCGCTCTATCCCGTCGGCCACAATCACGATATCCCTGTCTTCGTGTTGTGGGTCCGTCAAGAACTCGCTGATGACCTGCCGCACCCGGGACTCGCCGGGGAAGTTGATGATTATCAAGTGGTCTCTCGCATCCGATTTGCCCATACCAGACCTCTCTCTGTCTCGGAGTTCCACGACCCAGTCCACCAGCAGCCCCACTGACGTGGTGAACGCAGCCAAACCGATGACCACGATGAAGACCGTCGTTCCAATTCGCGCGCCAACGGTTGTGGAGGAAAAGTCGCCATACCCGATGGTCGTGATCGAAATCACGCTGTACCAGAGGCTGTCCCAGATTCCGGGCGCGTCCGGTATCACACGCTCGAAGAAAAAGAAGCTCAGCGTGCTCCCAATGATGCTGATCGCGAGGGTGAGCACGAGGAACAGAGCGCCGAGCTCTCGCCGCCGCCTCACCTTGCGAATCAGTCGATTTAATCGAGTAGATCATGACCTATGACGCCAAGCGTATCACCGCCAGACCCGCTTCGTGCCCCGGACCGTGGGCCTCATCATACCTGTCGAGCAGGTGGTCGTACGAGTCCATGATGTGCTCGACCTTCCCCGGCTCTTCCATTTCAAACGCCTCGCCGATGGGTCCTACAAGTCCCCACTCGTCCGAGACCTCGCAGTCGAGTCCCGCTTCGTCGCTTACGCGAAGATACTCACGTCTCATTGTATCGAAACTTGTCTCCGTTCTAAAGACGACTGGTGCGACCATGTAGTCCTTCGTGATGCACAGGCCAAGCTCATTTTCGAAGACCTGCACCAGGTCGACGTAGGGAATCCACCCCTCCATCGCGAAGATCATGTCCTCGACGATGTCCTGCGAGACGCGATGGTAGTAGAAGTCCTCCTCTTTCACGGCCATGCGGACGCGAACTGAGCGCTTCGACTCGTACCCCAAGACGCCCTCGGCCTCCGGGCCTGAGAGGAACAGAAAGGGCACGTTCCCGTTGGTGGCGTCTACGAGAATCTCCATGCCGTCGAACCTGTACAGGAGCGCGAGGTGCTGCCAGTAACGCATGAACCGCTTCGAGAAGCGGAAGTCGAGCGTGTTCAGCAGCTGGCGCAGACGCTCTTCGGGCACCGGATCGGGGGTGGCAGGCCCGGAGAGAACATACTCGGACTCCAGGCCGTAATGGTCGGTGAGAAACTTAACAGCCTGCACCTTCTCCGAGCATATCCCTCCCCGCCCGCCTATGATGTTGAGCACCGTCTCATCGCCCGTCTTGAAGACCAGCTTGGGCCCACTAAAGCGGGAGTAGTTCTCGAAGTCGGCTTCCCAGATGCGGAGGGCGAGCGCGTGAACGAAGTCCGCCTTGTCGCCTGTCGATTCCAGGTCGCCGATCCGCTTTGCCCTTTCCGCCCCGACTCGAGCCTCCACGCTCTCTGCCACGAAGTCGGTGAAAAGGTCCGAGTGTCTGTCCCATCGTCGACGGTGGAACCCGACCCAGTTGCGATCATATCCGACGCCCGTGCGGTCGATCTGCAGGTCGACGACGAGGGCATCTCTTTCTCCGATGGTGACAGGCTCGGCGTGAGGTGTGTCTGCGTCCTCCAGAAACCGCCCGTCTTGGAGGAACTCGACCCCCTCAAACATGTCAGTCAGGCTGCCGGAGTCGGATGAGATGTAGACCAGGTCTTGGATTGCCGTGAGAGTCTCTTCGGAGTCGTCGGCGATGCGGCGTTCTTGCCGCAGCGTGGCCAGATCCGGGTTCTTGAGGTACTTGTCGAGCATGTAATCGAGCGTCAACTCTAGGTCGTGCTGGTCGATGCGCAGCGCACACCGCCGCGTGGTGACCAGGTCGGTCAACTGCAGGATGACGTTCTCGGTCAAACCGTCTCGCTCTCCGACCAGTAGGAGACGCCGAGCAGTCCCGGACCTGTGTGCGCGCCTATCACGGGGGAAAACGTCCCGACGTAAAGCTCGGCGCAGTCGAACTCCGAAGCGATGCGCTCTTCCAGCTCTTTGGCCTCGTCGGGGACGTTGCCCTGTAGGACGGCCGCGTGGAGTCGACCCTCACCGACGTCCTCACGGAGCAGGTCGACGAGCTTACTCTTAGCCCTCTTGGCGGTCCGCACTTTGGCTATCGTGCTCACCTCTCCGCGATACATCTCGAAGATGGGCTTGACCTGCAAGAGAGACGTTCCCAGATGAGCCAGCACGGGCACGCGTCCACCCTTCTGGAGGTAGTACAGCGTGTCGAGCGTGGCGATAACCTTAACTCGCGGCACGAGCTCCTGCGTCCGCCGGACGATCTCATCGGATGTGTGGCCCTGCGCCGAAAGCCTGAGCGCCTCGATCACCATGAGGCCGGAGCCGGTGGCGCTCTCCGTATCGATCACCTCGATATGCGTTCCTTGCAGTCTCTCCGAGGCCTCACGCGCGCCGACGACCGCCGAATCGTAGGTCATACTGAACTTCGAGGATAGGACGAGGCAGACCACACTGTCGCTCACTAATGATGCCGCCTCGAACGCCTTGGCGAACTGGTCAGGCGAAGGCCCCGACGTGGTTGGCGGCCGTTTCAGCCTTCGCAGCGTCTCGTAGAACTCATCGGCGAAAGATCGAGTCCTTCCCGGTACGTGGTGCCGTTGATGACCATCTGGTGGGGAATGACGTGAAGGAATTGGTCGGACTCGTCCGCCAATTGCGCGGGCAGAGAGGCCGCGCTGTCGGTGACGATGGATACCCGCTTGGTCTGTTGCACGGCGCGACGAAACCTCTCGACAGTCGGTTCCGACGCATCATATCACGGTGAATCGCCCGCGACGAAAGGAACGCTGCGTTCGAGTCCGTCTGGGTGGGGAAGGAGAGAGAAGGTCGTGGCTGAACTACACGCACTCTGCCAGCGGTACAGGTTTGAAGGCGGTGGAGTCTCAGGCCACGTAGGCAGGGAGGCTGACGGGTCGAGCGATCCGGTTCACGGCGTCCGAGAACGTGTTCCATTCGGCGAGCATGGCGTCGAGGCGGTCCATGCCCCGGGTGCTGACGTGGTAGTACCGGCGACTCTGGCCCGATTGGGACAGCTCCCAGTGCCCCTCGATCAGGCCGTCGCGCTCAAGCCTGTGTAGGGCGGGGTACAGAGTCCCTTCTTTCAGGTGGAAGTAACCTCCGCTCTTCTTCTCCATCTCCTTTGCAAGCTGGTAGCCGTACATTTCCTGGCCCGCGAGAAGCGACAGAATGAGCGTCTCGGTACTCCCTTTAAGCAATTCCCGCCGAAACACATCCAGTCCGAAAGTGGTGGTCGTCATAGCGTGTCCCTCTCGATAGCTGCGCCGCGATAGAAAAAGAATAGGAAGCTACTTGGCTCTACTATGTACTACGCAGCGGACGGGAGATCGGATTTCAGGAATCATAAAGAGGACAGCCGGGTACCACGGCATAAGCACAAGGGGAGAGTGACGCGAATTCGTACTTGGCCCGCCCGAAGCGAACCCCTGCTACCAGTCCACCCTCAAGAGCGTCCACCGGATGCCGGAGTGACCGCCCTCGTGCGACCAGTGCGTCGCAAGGTAGGTCCCGTTATGCAGCCTGATAGCAGTCGGGAAGCCGAACTGGAAGCCCGCGAAGGTCTCCACGCCCGACTCGATGTCCTCCGGACGCTCGGCGGTCGTGTTCGGGTCGTACATTATCCCTTCATAGTGGATCGTCCAGGCGTCGTCGGTGAACGTCACAAGGTTTCATCACGACGCCCTGCCTGCCGTATCGACGGTTGTAGAGCACCATCAGCCGGTCGCCTTCCAGCGTGATCGGAGTCATGGTCTGCCCCATGATTCCCGTCGGCTTCGGCCTGCTCCATGTCAGGCCGTCGTCGCGTGAGATCGTGAAATGGTCATCGATGTCCTCGACACCGTCCATGACGATCGTCCAGCACGTGGCGATCAGTAGGCCCGGCTCGACCTCAGCAAGCTTCTGCTCGAAGTAGCCATGGACGCCGTCGGGGTCTTCAAACACCGTTTGCGTGACGCGGCCACGTCTGCCCTCCGTCGTCCGATACCGCCGCGATCACCAGCCTACCCAGCGTGTCCTGCGACTCCAGAGTAGCGCCCGGTGCGAGCAGCCGCCCGGATTGCAGGGCCAGCGCTCCGTGCGAAATCTCCAACGGCGAGTGTCCCATCATCGGAACGACCGTCGGCTCGGACCACGTGCGCCCGCCGTTCGTAGACGTGCACAATACCGGCTCGTTGTGACCCTCGCCGAACCTGGTCCCCTCCTCGCGATAGCTCCGGGAGCCGTAGGCGTAGACCGTCTCCCCGTCCGCTGAGATACTCAGCTTCAGGGCATTCGTCGCGTTGTCAACCCGTGGAAGGATCGTGCCCTCAACGTTCCACGTCCTGCCGCCGTCCGTCGAGCGGGCCCAGTCGGTGCCCCCCGTGGTGTGCGCTCCGCCCCCGACGTTGAACGAGCACAGAATGTCGCCGTTCGGAAGCTGAACCGCCTGTGGGAATGCCGACTCCCGCTCGTCGATTCTTCCGCTATCAAGGATTTCAATGTTCGGCATGAGACTGCTCCGATCTTGTTGTGATTGTGGACTTCGCTAAGGGTATTCAACGAAGTAATAAGATTGCGGCATGGATCATAGCAGAACCGTTCATCTTGCTGTGCATCTGAGGGTACTGGAGTATCGGGCTAGGCGCACGAGGGCTGTTCGATCGTGACATTGACTTGGAAAAAGCATGACGCCGGTTATGCACGTAACACAGAGCTTGGCGGATCTTTGGTTCTCAGTATCTGTTAGATTGCAATTAGCTTGGCTTCGAGTCATCCGTGGGGCCGTTTGAACTGATGTCAGTCTAAGACCGATACTCCAATTGACAGATAGACTGCGTTCTAGGCTATAGTCTAGGTGAACAGTGAACATTTGCCCATGGAAGCGATACGAGAGCCTTACACTGGCCTCTAGGGATGCCTCGCTACTAGCTGAAGGTGCGCAATGAGCAACATCGTTGAAATCCCCAATGCACTTGGAGATACCGGCATAGGCGTTGGGTTTTATACTCGCGCGGAGGCCGCCCGCATTGCTCGCATTCCTAGACGGACGTTGGATGCTTGGCGGCAGAAACGCATCGTTTTGGAGTCTATCGAGTGGGAGAACGAGGAGGGCAAGCGAGAAGTTGGCTATACATTTGATGCTCTGGTGTACTTGCGGCTCATAAGAATGCTTCGAGAGAACAATATAGTGCTCAGAAAGGCAGTACACGCTGTCAGCGAACTGACCAAGAGATTTGGCCCTCCGAGCCCAGCTTGGCAGTCGGTCAGAATTTTCTCTTGGGGCGATGATGTTTTTGTCAATAGTACCGACGAGTGGAAGACGACCACTGCTACACGCAGTAGCCAAAAGGCGGCTGATATCCTCTTCGGAGAAGAGTTTGAACAGTTGCGTGATCGCTCGGACGCGCTCTTGGTTCCCCCGAAACTTTCAGCGGCATGTTGAAATAGATCCTTCGAAGAGGAATGGCCATCCGGTTGTACTAACCACGACGATTCCGACATCGCTTGTTCATGCGCTCTGCCTCCAGGGTCTCTCTTATTCAGATGTACATCAGGAGTATCCTTTCATATCTACTGTGGCCGTCCAAACGGCACACGAATTTGAACACTTCTTGGATGTCGAGAGCATAGCAGCGTGAAACTGTTGGCCGATTGGCAGTGTCGAGTGAGTGTCGAGGAAACGCTCCGCCAATTGGGATGGGACATTATCGCAGCGCGGGACACTGGTTTACCGGACACAGCTGCCGATTACGAACTCGTAGCCTACGCCCATAGCATGGGACGGGTATTCCTGACCTTTGACAAGCTTCGAGGCGAGTCAGGGGCTCTAGTAGCTAAGCAAATCCGCGAGTTCGGTGGACGAGTGCTTAAGGTCCAAGGCGGCCCACAACAGGACACTTACCAAGCCGTCGGACGTATCCTATTTCATTATTCCAAGTGGGCCTCTTTCCTTACTGAAGAGAACGGCGTTGCAGACCTCTCAGACTTAAGGCAATGCAAATTATTCACGTCATCGGGATACCTTCAGCTGGCTTATCGCACTGGAGCAAAGCAATTTGAAGACTACTTGACGCGGAAGCGTAAGGACCGTTCCGACCGTGGCAAGAGCAGACGAACCACACCTAACGACCAAGGCCGTATGGACTTACCACCCTAGAGCAGTCCCTCCGCGCTCACCAGTTGATCGCCGTGCGCACCAGTTACTACATTGTGCCCTATCGGTTGAACCGCCCTAACGCACGTTGAGAGCATTGCTCGATTGTGATCCCAGTCCCTACCGACCGCAACGCCGACTTCCCCGGCAGTCACCTTGCATCGCCATTGACAGCGAGTAAGGAATATGCTTTTATGCTAACGCGATTACATCGCGACGTATTGCATCACCACGACCGAGAGGAAGGACGCAGATGCGACAGCAAGACACGCGTCAGCCGATGTCGACGAGAGAGCTCAAAAAGGAGTGAAGTCGTTTAGAAGGCGCGTCAGGACACTGCGTACAAAGACCACGAGGACGAGGTCATCGAGTCGTTCCTGTCTCGTGTCGCAGGAGTCGATCGATGCCCGCGTGGAAGCGAGGGTGAACGAGGCGCTGCGAGGCGTCCCACACGCCGGCTTGCCAGCCCGTCCAATGGGCGCATTCAGAGTCGTGCTCGGCTACGTGGTGGCGGCCTCGCATTGTCGATTCCGATAGCCGCGGTTGCGGGCGGAGGGGTGGCTACGATTGCTGTTATCGGCTGTGTCACGCTGGCGGCGATATCTGATTCTGCTGACGGACGTGCGTACTGAAGCGTCGGCCCGGCCACGAGTGTGAACGTGAAAAGAAGAAGTAGCACTGTCTGCTGATCACGTATCGAGGGCTTGTCGGCACTGCGTGCGAACCTGAGGGGCCTCTTCAGGGCAGATGACGTCCATTTCTTCCCGCACACTGAGGTTGCGTCCCCGAACGACATCGACCGTGACCTCGAGCCACCACCGCTCGATGAAGAGTGAGTTGTTGGCGTCGCGCCGGCGTTCCATCGCGTCCAGGACGATATCCGGCAGGTGGGGGCCGACTTCCAGTTCCACATCGAATGTGCCGGGGCGGCAATTTCTCAGCGAGGCGGCGCTGGGAACTTAGCGCCGTAGCAGACCGCGGTCCCGGTCTTCACCTGCATGAATCGTTGCATGGGCGTGTGCTTGGTATCTTCGAGTCTGACGTGGTCGCTAGGGTAGAGGAAATCACCGATGCCTACCTACATACTCTGACCCATTCTCACCTCCGTGTGGCGGGTCTGCGCTATAAGGCTGAGGCTCCCCACCGAACGGTGACGCTGCCGTTGGGCACAAGCGTGACTGACGCCTTGATCGTGTCGTCGAGGCGGTACATTCTTCGCTCAAAGTCCAGCCTCACTACCAGGGGGTTGAGCGTGTATACCATCTGCCCGTCCTCCTAGCGTATATCTCACACGTCTGCGCGGGAATTCCCTTGTAGAGAAGCCTTCAGAATCGGAGGTGACCGTCAAGAGGGAAGTACTAGCCC